TACTGCACAACATCAGTGAGTGAATTTTCCACGCTCGTGCTTACTACAGCTATAATGGGGTTGTAAAAAACAGTGGAACGCCCCGGTGGTACAGTACATAAGGTTTTTGTTGCTGTCTGAATTTCGTCTCCGATGTTCATTTACAAGTCGGCATCCACTTGGACCTTCCGTATGGATGAAAGTCAACAGATGTGATCCGATTGGCGGTACCAAGATTAATATCCAAGGTCCGATGTTGCTTAGTCGTCCATAAATTTATCGGAATTGGACTACCCATTTGACCCTAACGTGCAACTTCCAAGGGCTAGTGAATATTGTATGAAAACTTGTAAGTAAATCACGTACATATATACGTCTATGCCCATACATGTATATATGCTTGGAGAAAACAGTTATTTGGCCAGTACTTTCCCTCGCTTGAAATCCTACTGGTCCTTGGATTGGATAAACTAAACAGATGAAAACACCGATAAACAAAAGCCGGTGGAACATACCTTACTCCAAACTATTCTGCTTACTGAGCAGCATGCTCTAATATGAAAATGACTGTACCGAAATTTTCGGCAAAGGGTGCTCATAACTGCTTAAGAAATCGTCACCGAACTACCGAAAACCGACCCATTGTCATCAGAAGCGTTACGTAAAAGCTATGAGACTGCTATGACCACCCAAGACGCATTATCATTTGAGTACCAGTATGTTTTACCAGTGTATTACTGTCAATTATGGTGATGGCCATAAAGCTACGACAAGACTGGCCTACCAACTTGTAGGAAGTCTTCCCTGAAGGACGTTGGTGACATATTGTACTTCCTGTGTCAGTGAACCGCGGAAGATATATATACATATATATATATATATATATATATACCGTTGGTTGGAATCCGAAAGGATCTGCCAGCGACAGTGAATAATTCGCTGGGCGTTCAGCGCACAGTCGGTAGGCTCCAAGTGGTTTGCGCGAAGCCAAATATGGCACAAGCAGCCGATAGCAATATAAAATTTAGGGAATAAGATTGGGGATAAACACACAGGTTTGTTGAGAGTTACCAGCAGGCCTAAGCACCATGGCATAACAACTGTCTCCAGTACTATGGCACTTTCACATCAAAGAACTAACTTCATCCATCAGTTCCTCTAACTTCCAGCAGCAAGGAGCAGTCGCCCTAGCTAAATCACCGTAACAATGCCATCTGGACGGTGTCGATTGGATAGCAATGACAAATCAGCAGTCGGAAGTTACTACCATCGTTATCTCGTAATATGATAGCAGAGTCAGATCCTGACTGAAGCTGACTGATTTACTTGCGCTTTCGGGGTATCATAAAGTAAGCACGGTGATGAATTTCAGGGCTTTCTACCCTTTAATTGCAAATTGATCCTTCTAGCTATGGTTGTGTTCAATATTGTACGACATTTTTAAATGACGCTTACGTTTGTTCCTGAAAGCCCTTCAGGCTTGTCCACAGAGAATTTGCCAAGCTACTCTAGCAAATGTCAAATCTTCCCAAGATCTGAAACTGAGCTTCACGATTCCGAATTTTGTTTAGGACTGCTGCAATAACCGAATTTTTCTCGCATTAGAGTTTGGGCTCCGCTCGTCTACTGACCTTAACTAATTTGCTGCGGAATGTACTTATCGATCACTTGTTTTACGCAGTCTGTCCGGCGTAGCTGTTTGTTGATCGAGGCGAACTAGACTGATTTTATCTTGGATCGAGTTGTAATTTAGCTACTCGGGATGTGACTACTGAAATCGAAGAACTTTCCGCAGACATTGTCAGACTTGTTGATGTGCCGTCTTCATGGCATCAAGGTTTAATAGCCATTTGTTATTGAATAAATAACACAGCTCGCACACTGCGACGTGTGCATGTAGGCGAAGAGATTTAATGCTTGCTCCCCGAAACGGAGCATAGATTTCGAGACCGAGTGCCAAGTTTCCGGTTGGGTGTTTCAAAGATAGTCTTGGAAATGTCGCATACATTTATTTGAGTAGAAAGTGCCTGTTGTTGTAGACCCAGAAAATGTTAGTAGAAGGCAAGTGTTCTAGAAGCAGTTGTATTTAAACTAAGTGAGATTCTGTGGAGGTAATTGCTGTGGCTGCTAGCCCTAATTTACCTTCACTTGTGCGACTAAAGCGCAGTCATCCTCAAGCAGCAGCACAGAGCTCTTTGGTTGGTGTAGCTTCAATTCGACCGTGAAACTTTCGAGTTGTTTAGGTGACAGTCGAGATGGTCCAGCTGACTCGAATCATATAAAGGGTGTCTCATAATAGACGCCAAATATAATACTCAAGGCAAAACTGCAAAACCGATTCAAACATTTATCAATTCCATGTGGATGCCCAATGGAGGTTTACTGTGAATGAACTGGCATCACAAAAAATTTTGAAAAAAAACCACCCCTTTCTTCCATATCAAGTTGGAGGCGGTATAAGGTGTGAGACACAGCATGTTTAACTTCTTCAAGAGTCACTCGTGCACACTCCTCTTCAATTCCTGCTCTTAATTCCACCATATACTTCGGTTTATTTTCATGATAAACGCAAGCCTTGATCATTCTTCAAAACCAATAATCCAGAGTTGTGAGATCGGGTGACCTTGCGGGCCAATCAAATTTTGCGTTTATTATGAGACATCCTGTATACAGACTGAAGGAAGTTTGGGCTAGCAGGCAGACTCACGTTACTACTGCTCAAAATTCGAAGTCAGAAGGCGTGGTTCTACAAGTGCTTATGAAGGGAATTTAATTGTATATATATATATGAAGGTTTCTGGTTCTTTCGTGAAAAGCGAATGGCTTGTAAATAACATACGAAAGTGAGCCGCACAAGGTGATCTCTCAAAGGGTTTTTGTTTTAACTCGCACTCCAGTGGCTGAGGTTCATTAATTAAAGGCAGGACTGCACTGATTTTGCAGGCACATCGTGTACTGGTAATTTCGAGGGGTTGCGTTTCATGTCATTCGAGGAACTTACTTAGATTACCGTTTTCTCAAAGCATCTTTGTGATGAAATACAGATTATTTTCTATATTATCTTCCTTAAATCTATCAAAGTACTACAAAACACGTTTTTTTAATGGTAGGTGACAGGATGCTGTCAAAGTGCGCATAATGGTCAATCAACTTTAGGTTATGAAAATCATTTGATTGCACGCGCCACTCATGCGTTCGACTCTACTGCACATCCAGAAATCAGGATGCGTGTCCCAGTTCCACCGTTTACATAAATAAATCACGCGCGTGCCTCATTAACGATGTACACAATCCGCATGAGACCAGCTGTAGCATGACAAATTAACAATATCTTTCTTCATATAACCATCAAAAAATCAGAGCTGGCTAGTTTGTCCTCTGGTATCAACCCTCCAACTCATTGAATATCCACAAGTACTTTGAAAAAGCACCGTTGAACAGGAAGTGTGTTGCGATACCATTTCATCCAACTTATCTTGAACCTGAAACATTCTCTATCTGAAGAATTTTGATCACACCCGTTATATGCGTCTGTAAATATGGGGCTAAATCTAGGAGTAAAATCATATTTTCTGGAACTTCTAAGTGGTTGGGTTTGAACATAATAAAATCGCCCGAGAGGCTGTGGTTTGCCATTAAAGCCAGAAAGGTTATAGTACTTTACACACCTACTTGACTATGATTTTACATGTGGGAATACGCATACTTTGTGATACACAACATTTGTGCACATCACGCAAGGCATAGATCAGCGCTGTAAATGAGCTCGAAGGCGTCGGTAGTTGCAGTGGTGATGAAACTACATTGCATTTATTTCGTTGTCTTCATTTGATATTTACTCCATCAACGTTTTCTTTATTCCTCTGTGAGTTTCGAGCCCCTTGATGCCACCCAGGCTGATTTCGATGTTTAAACACTACCTTCTCCGCTCAGGAAAAATACAGCAATTCTGTTGTCCGGTTTGTGGAAAAATCGGTAGGTAGCTAGGGTGTGTTTACCTTTGGTTGATCAGATGGTAGTTGTTCTGTTCGCCGAGCTTGCTACCTGGTTTGCAAACGTTTTTCCCTCGTCGAGGAGACCTCTTGCTTGCTACCTGGTTTGCAAACGTTTTTTCCTTGTCGAGGAGACCTCTTCAGTGCGTAGTTGAGTTGTCCGGTTTTATGAAGACAGATTTATACTCCTTTCTATGTAGCTGATATATACTGTGGGGTGAGTATACCTAGGTTCGTCCTGCCAATAAGGACGATACCTAGACTTAGCGCTTTGGATGGACGCACTGGCAACAAATAATTTCCAATTTCAGTAATTTTATTGATTCAAATTTGTAAACTGTATTCAATTCTCATTTGGTTGTCCGTATTTCGAAATTCACAGATTTTTTTGTTTTGCAGCCGAAATCATATCACAAAGTTCATACTTAAATGATCATCTGGTTTGATCAGCCTAATGGTATACTCACAAAACCAGTTTGTATTTGCAGTAATAGGACCTACATCCCGCCAGGAAACGGATTTAGCTAAAAATAGAAAAGAATGTTACTTGGTCTTACAACAGAAAATTTGATGCTTTAAGTCTTTTTATACCAGCGAGAGTTGAAAAATAGTGTCTGCAATCCCGTTTGGTAGGCCCAAAGGAAACTTGCAAGAGTGGGTGCATGTTTCCAAACTTAAGTCTAGTTGGCACGCAGAAGTTGTTATCTGAACTTGCCAGACCTTCACAGGATGAATCTCTGTTAACGCCTGAAATAGGAAAAGTAATATCACGGAAAATTCTTTTCACTTCACCCTAGCCAATAACAGCCGTCAAAATGCGCGGTATATACCGCAGGTGTGACCTTGTAATTTGACCAACCCGCTTCAAGGATTTGGCAGCCAGCATACAAAGTGTTGGACACGCGCTTCGGACGTGTCTGAGTAGATGCAGCTCCGACGCGACGTTTACCTTCCCCACCATTGGAGAAAGAGTGTGTGGGTTGTTCCATTGTGTTAAATTTGAATGCCCATATTCTGCTCAATTTTGTGATGGCTGGATCAAGGAAAGGTTTGGTTGCTCCACAAAACACATTCCTTGAAACCGTGCTACGTCGATTTGGTGCACCGCGTAAGTTGATTGTTATTGGTCAGATATTTTGTATGGGTGTTAATCGCACAGTCTAGTTTGTCATAAGGCACTCAGCTGTCATTCAGCTGGATATAATCCTTTATTTGGCCATTAACGAATGCATTTAACTGGAAGCGGTGATTTCAATGGCTGAGGTACGAGGATAATTTGTCGGTCTTGGGCACTTATCTTAATGTTAGCTGCCTCAGACCCAGTTTTGTTACCCAAGTCTATATATATTCTTCTCGGTTTCCAACGAAGTTATAGTTTGAAGTAGGATCATTATTGGCTTTGAATGTGCCCTTGTCAATCATCACCAGTGTTGTGTAAACGCCAAATCCTGCCAGCAGTTGAGAGAAAATGGGGTCCAGGGTAAGCAGGCAACGTTAGAGGAAATACTGTATGTTTGCGCACTATCTGGCTACAAGCATTCGGTGAAAGTTATCCAAAAATCTGTTTCCGCTTAGATGGAATGTACAGTGGATTTTGACAGTTTGGGTGTAGGTGTCCCAACCATGACAACAAAACTCGTAACTCCAAATACTGTGGCCGGAGAAACGGCGTCAAAACACCAGAGAAGATAAGTCCACGGCTGATAGTTGATGATACTCTACACCTTCTGGTCTATCGGAAAGCTAGACACACTGTAAATGGGATTGCAGAACCGTGAAGCTTGGAAGACAATTGGCTATAAATTGTACTTTTATTGCATCAAGTATGTAGCAATCATTTCTAATGCCTGTCCTTTTCCATAAAGCTTCAGAATAAAGGTACCTCATTTTCCGGCTCCGTCCCACCCTGTAGTGTTTGTTATCATATCGCCTACTAAAACTCTTTTCAAGTGTGAGATCCATGGGTCACGTGTTTGAGTCAGGAACTCTTAATTGCCGTGTCAAAAATAAGAAATGATTTGATGGGACATACGACAAGCGAGTGCGTAACCAATGGGCCAGGTTCCCTTTGAGATTAACGACGCTGGTGACGGATCGGGCACTTTGGAATGACATGCATAACAAGGCCTTTCAAAAACTACAGGCTTTTCAGAAACATGCTGTTGATACGCGGCTGTTGCAAAATATATTTACAGCGGGTAAAAACGTATGACAGTGCATTAGCTGTTTAGGCTATCTATAGACTCGATAGCGTGTGTTCCGTAGGCTTTTCAATCAAACTGGGCACTAATCTGTTAGTAGCTGACTGTCGATAGAAACACAGACTAAACTTATATCTTGTCTCTGAAACGGATCGATGTGACTGATTCAAGCCAAATGTTAAAGGATCTGTTTTGTAGAAAGTTCACTTTAAACAAAAATTGGACTACGTGGAGAGTTCTCTAGCGGGACGTGCAGAGGGTTGTATGTTGTGAAGGATGGCTTTATCACGAAACACCTAGGCAAAAAGACGCTATTCCACTTACCTGATATCCTCATTGTTATACCTCAAAAAGTATACTATAGGTTAAATGATTGCAAAAGTATACTGGGTATCCCTGCCAGTCATAATTTGACCAAAAATATTCTGGCTGTCTTAATGAACGAACAGATTTTTCACACCTGATCGTGAAGATCAACCAAAACTGCACATTCGTACGCTACCGGTAAGCCGATCGGTATGCTGACTCGTTTTCATCCTTTTCGGTGGGAACCGAATAAGTAGGCAGAAAATTGACTGCGTTGCCGAATACTATGCTATAGATCACTCACACGAAGGCTAGGCCTTTGATGAGATAAAAATCAGCCGAGGAGCATCTCTAGAAGTCTTTCGAATGTGTCTCACACGAACGAAATGCCTTAGTACCTGGAGTTTAATGAAAGTCCAAGAGAATGACCCGTGGTGTAAAAGATTCTCCCTAACGAGCAGTCTCGTGTTGTGTTGCTGAGCCGCTTTCTTGGCAAGTTACAACGAAGCATCAGACTAGGAAGCTTGCTACACTAAACAGAATTTGAGAAGCATCAAGATATATTATCTTGACGATAAACTCTTGTTATCTTGACCTTTTGACAAATTTTATTCCCAAGGAATCCAGTCAGCACTTGTTTCCTTGTGATCCTTTAACTAGGGAACTGGTGACTGGATTTAAACCACTAGCTGGTGAATTTAATCGTGGATTTTCCGGTATAACTGTGGCTATGTTCCCGATTAGAGAGAACAGACAAAACGGTTTAGACCATTTGACGTCCTCCCCATCTGCTCCCTTCTGTGGCCTAACAGGATACCAACAGCAAATAAAATCCCATAGTGCCGAAAGTCTAATGTTAATGGCAGGAATGTTGCATGATTTTCGAATGGCAGACAGTTGCTGCGACATTATGTAGCTAGAAGACACCAGTAGGCTTGGCAAAAAGGAAAGAACCCCACTACCTTAACTTTGGCCTGAAAATTCCAGTTGGCAGAACAGGTTGCAATCACACATTTGCTTTTCCCGTAGACAACCTATAACTGAACCGTTAGACGTGCACTCTTATCCGTGACAATGCTAAATCCCCACCCAGCACTTCTCACCTAGTTTTAACGCCACAATTCAAAAGAAACTTCTCAGACAAGGACTTCCATATAAACCTAGACACTGGTGTTAGATCATAGTGCAGAAAAATGCCTTTCAGCTGTGTCAATCATTACGAACTTATAAGCTAAAAGCCAGCTGTAAGGCAAACGCTAAAAAAACAAATCATCCCTTTTTCATCTAAATGGAGTATTTGAATCAGTGACATCAGCATGCATTTTACTCCATTGAGACGATACTACACACCGAATGCCAGCAGACTTCTACCGTAAAGGTACTATCATTCTTCGACTCAGTGGAGTAGTTTCGAGCAAACAGGTTTTAATCAACAGGTTCCTTACGAGGCAAGTTTTCAGCTTGTCATGAAAAAATTTGCAACATGCATTTGTGTGAGGAGCTCGAGCAGACTACACAAAAGCAATTTTCAGCCGAGAAAAAGACAGACTATTTCTGCTGGAAGTTGAGAGTGCCAGCTGCATTTCGGAATGTTTTCTAAATAAGCGTTCAGTGGGCTATCGAATGTTGACCTGCAAGATACACCTGGGTGCTATTTGCGAAATTCAACATTTTGAAAAGTCGCTCAAAAGTGTGTGCTCAGAAGTATCTCCCTATTTTGGATGGTCCACAGTCATTACATAAGAAGATGTTCTCTTTCTATTTTTTACGTGTGGACCCATCGAAGAAACCGGTCTGCTGGTTGCCAATGCTCGCATTGTGGATTATCCGATCATCTATGTGAATGACAACTTTACCCGACTGACGAACTATAGTCCGCGGGATATGGTACAAACCAGTGCGATTTGCAAACAGCTGCATGGGGAACGAACCTCAATCAATGCAGTGGAACGGATACAACGAGCATTAGATGAGGGTCAAATGGAACAAGTGGAAATTACACTGTACAAAAAAAATAGTAAGTTATGGTTGACGGTTTCACGGGTCAAATGCTATTCTAAGGTAAGTTGTTGGAAAATGTAAAGTCGTGATGAATAATAGAGGGGAAACTGACGCTTGTCTAATATTTTTCTCAGTAAAACAGTGAACTACATAGTATTGTTGGATGGCTGCTAATACAGTCTACTTTTACTAAACCCATATCAAAATCTTCGAAAATGACAGAGAACATCCCCAAATCATCATTGTTAATCATTTTGTGTTTTTCAATCGACCTTATACCCAAAACACATTTGTCTGAGTAAGCTTCTTTCAGTCCTGGTACAGGTCTTACTAGTGCAGTGAGTGCAATCAAGCTACGTTCTGTCAATGATTATATGCAGCGCACAAACCCTACTGTGCTGGAATGTGGACATGCAAAGCGAGCTACTCACTGCTGATCCTTCAGGCCATTGCGATACGAGAAAATGGAAAACACCAGCTCTGAGGACCCCAGTGACTCACATTGTAGTACTGAGCAATTATTAACTCACCTCTTGCATGAGAAAGCTAGTCTTCCAGTTGGTACAATGTCAGAAATCAGGTCCGTTGCAAGCAGAAATTTGGAGGTGCATGGACGACCAGTTGTACACAGAACGAAATAATTACCCCACCATGCATCTTATCGTGGATTTTACTGTGCGGTGGTTGTGTTTTTCATCACGACGAACAGCACCTGTCACTGACTATACTAAACTGGGACCGTTCAACACAGTTTCCTAGAGAACTTTTCAGCTTTGTCTCTGTGGGTCTCCTGCTACACAGTGAATCTCTTGAAGCTTTGCAAACTTACACCAGACCAAAGTCTGACGATCCGTTTCCAGAGAAATGATGTAATAAGCAGGCTTCCTGCAAACTGGACGACTAATGTGCACTTTAGAATACACCAAACAATGTTACTGCCCTGAAAAGTGTAGGGTGATCGCAAACGAATACCAAGATTTCAAAGCAAATACCGAAGCCGGGTGATAGCGGCCATAGAGGACAAACAGTGGTAAACTGACGACATAACATTCAGTGGAAGATATTGCATGCCGATTAGGCAGAGCTGCTTGCTGACTTGGACGACCAAGCTGTGGATATGTTTCCGCATTTTTTTGTCACTGACTATACTAAACTGGGACCGTTCAACACAGTTTCCTAGAGAACTTTTCAGCTTTGTCTCTGTGGGGCTCCTGCTACACAGTGAATCTCTTGAAGCTTTGCAAACTTACACCAGACCAAAGTCTGACGATCCGTTTCCAGAGAAATGATGTAATAAGCAGGCTTCCTGCAAACTGGACGACTAATGTGCACTTTAGAATACACCAAACAATGTTACTGCCCTGAAAAGTGTAGGGTGATCGCAAACGAATACCAAGATTTCAAAGCAAATACCGAAGCCGGGTGATAGCGGCCATAGAGGACAAACAGTGGTAAACTGACGACATAACATTCAGTGGAAGATATTGCATGCCGATTAGGCAGAGCTGCTTGCTGACTTGGACGACCAAGCTGTGGATATGTTTCTGCATTTCTTTGCAAGCATCACTGGCAGTATGTTACGCCTCGAACACTCTGCCCTCGGATGTGTTGATAATCATAGGACGCCACAACCTCATCAACGGTAGAATTACATTTGGATATTTGGACAATCACAGACTGCTCTTCAAAACAACCAATTCCCCGATCCTGTTTGAAAATGGGCGTGCCCCCAACAAAGTAAGGAACTTACGTATTTCAACTACATACTTCATGGGCGTGTGACTGAAAATTCCCGAAACACCGAATGATTTCAGTAGCACTGTGAGCCCCATATCCAAAAAAAGATGGTTTACCTTAAGTAGACTTTTTTCTGTTTTATTTTTGTAAATAAAGTAATACCCTCATACTTTCACTGCAAAGACACCAATTCTTTCTGTCTAACTTCGCAACAACTGGACCTCTACCAATCATCTGGGATTGCTTGCGGAGAAGAGTGGACATTTATTCTAACAACTGAACTACTTTATTTAATAATTGGCAATCGCTTCTAATTCGTGCTTTCTTGCCAAGCTCATACATGGGAAAACTTACTAGCCACTTGACCCTCGCTGAGAGGAAACTTTGTGCCGTTTATTTGGGATTTTCATAACTGTTAAAAGCAATCTATTTGGTTCTAAATGACCAGAGTCGGAATCAAGGTAACCCGAGCCCACCGACACGAATATGGCTAAGCACATGGTTTATGGTTTTCCTTCAACACTATCTGACCATCACTATTGTATGTCATCTAGTTAATCGGAGCCACTATTTTGCAGTGTTGCGTCTAACCTTGTTTATGAACTTGTTTTGCCAGACATGGTTGAATCACTAAAAGGAATAATCTGGCAACAGCTAGTTACCGTCAACAAAACAACCACAAGTGCAACAACAAATTGCAACAACACAAAAGTTTATGGTATTGCGCAGAGTATGACTGTTTTCCAACAGAAACTTGCATCCATGATAGGGGGTTCCAATGGAGCTTTGCTTGAACACAGAACGATGATTTTATGCATGCATATTGGCACAACTGTCTCAACAGAAGCATACTTTCGATTTAAAAGAAAAGTTCACTCACATTACCACTACAACCACTATAAGCTAAGTGTTGTTTCAATTGTCTTAGATTTAATCGGGCGTAACCTAGACAGGGTTGAGTAGATCGAAAAGGAATTAATACCTCCTACCAGGACGCTTGGATCAGAGAAATACGTCACACAACTATATTTTTGCTTGTTCTGGAGAATATGTCACGCATACTTTCATTCCTGAAATGAGGTCAACAAATTTTTTAAACTTATTGTACTTCTCATGCACCATGGAGACAAGATGTTTAAAAGGTGTAAATTGTTGAAAAATCCCTTTTGTGAAGGGAAACACGGTAGGCCATGATTGTACCGTAAGGGAACAGAATTTAGTTCAACCTACCTTTGAGACCATACCAGTTTTCTAACAGTGAGTTTTCTACATTATATATCTTGTTGAATAAGATAATGAAAGTGAGAAACCGAAAGTACGGATGAGTAAGAAGTTGCAAGACACGGTCTAATACCGATAATATGGCACAATAATCCTTTTTTAAGATGTCTTCAATGCGAATGAATGAATCCTTCCATTGAGAAGTGAGTGCTATATTAGAAACATGAACATGTTGCGAATAGGCTGTACCCTCTTATAGCTTTTGCAGACATCACATGCAACACTGCACTTTAAATAGGCCCATTATGCGTGTCTTCACAACTCTATCAACTCATGTTATCGTTGACTATGAATATGACTCTTGTAGTGGGCAGTGAGTAAAAGGCCGGTATTAGTATATAAGTAAGAAAACTGACTGTGCAATCATTTTCCATCTAACTACCCATCCTTGGCCATAGTTTCTCAGGTTTTGCGGGGCAATGTGGAAATCATCTTGAATATTCAACCAGAATCAGGCCAGAATGCGTTATTTATATTTTTGACACCTGAAGGAGAAAGCTTCCTAGAAATACACTCATTTGCAAATCAATTTGGTCTTCACCAGAGATTCAAATGAATCTCTTGTTGATGATATTCCACAACTGAAGAGTTTTCAGCAACCTTGTGAGTAGTTTCCTTTAGGAAAGCTTCCTGGTTTTCTGTTCTGTTTCTGTTCTGTGGTAGGACAGGAATATTTGCATAGATTTATTAGGATATCAAGATACCTGAAAATATCTCACAAACTTTGATGAATTCGGGAAAATGTGATGGATGCTCATTTGTCTAAATTTGCTGTTGACGGAATGATGATTCCGTTCCTAATTAAGTAAAATAACGCGGCTATTGAAGGGATGACCAAACTTAGCCCTTCCGCTCGCAGCTTTGCTACATTTGTCAATTCTTCTTCAGCCCATTAGCGGTTGCATACTGATCCGTTGAAAATAGGTGAACAGTCGTTTCTATCTTTTCTCTGATCATAAAGCTCTGGTTCATTACCAGTGGCCTTCATGCATATCATTCACTGAGGCACCAAGCAGAGGCCGTTCAGACAACAAGCCGCCAATAATGCCCTGTGTTTACTGTCTTTTACAGAATCCATGATATGGGTCGTAATGTGTGTTGCTCCAATCGAGAACGACGCTGGGGAAATTCGCCTTTATCTCATTTTATTATATGATATCTCGCCACTGCGTCAACCTCTCGACGACGACGTTCTGCGTGGAAGTAAGTTACATCGCACTGTTTTTGTTGAAGCACACAAGATGAAATAGAAAACCGGTGTCTTTTTATAATCCAACTCTTGTAGGATCGTTAACTGACTGTAATTTATCGGTATCATTTATTAGGCTATAAAAAGATAATTTTAAAAGCGCTCCTCAGGCATAAGTCAAGATCCTCAGTCCCCATACACTATTTTATATATATTTATATTTCTGAGGTCTTTCTCACCTATAATCGCTGAATATTTGTCCATATTTCACAAGTTGGATGGGCAGACACCGAATATTTTCACATTGCAGTGCGTGCTCTCTGAAGAACTTCTATTGCATGGAATCTACTGATTGGCTCCCAGCAGAAAACCCCACGAAACCATTAAAAAATGATAAGGGTTTCTCATTGACGTTTGGTAATCAGAATTAAATAAAACGTCAAACGGCGGTTGACAGGGTATTCGGTTTTTGTATATTTAAATGCGACTGAAGTTTACCTTGCACAATTGAATTAACTGAATAATCAAGGACAAATACATTACTGCACAAACAACATTATACTAAAGATAGACCTGACTGCCTTTATGGTAAATCAAAGATTAGAAAAGCAGACAACTGTTTGACGATCGGAATCAGGATTCGGACAACGATAATTTGTTCCTCCTTCCGTTATGGATACATCCCAGTGCATGGACTTATTCACAATTTCAGGTTTCAGTAAATTTGCGAAATTGGCACGCTCAGTGGCACGGAATCGCAATATGTTGGCTTCTCAATCAGAGACGGATGATTCAACGGCCTCGGTAAGATACAGATGCCTTGGCATCCATTTCACACCCCGTTTTGGCCGCTTCTTATGTAGCAATCAAAATTAGCGAGACGCTTTCATGGAGGGGTCAATGCACGACAGATTCAAAATTCAACCGGTTTGTAACTGTTCTCCGCACAATGGACCACACAATACATTTTTGCCGTATGGGAAATTGCGATGAATGTATGAGTAGCAGAATACATTTAGCCTCACAACGAGTTGATATTGTAGTAGATTGGAGTCGAAATTTTCCTGGACAGTCGCTTCTCGCAATCAAACGAATTTTACAGATTTTCACTGTCATCTCAACGCGGCTCTTTTCCGTACCTTTTTTGGCATATGATCTAACTTCAATCACGTTTAGTTTTGGAAATTAAATCTTGGATGGGCAGCGAAACATCTCAAATCTATAACCTGAATCTTGGGAAAGAAAAGATAGACTGATGGGCAAGCACTTGCTTACCGCCTACATGTGCTTTCTCTATATTTTTGACCTACATTTGAGTCGAATATCACGTTCACTACATTATATGCACCCTAAGTGCAACAAAACCAAGGGGTCCAAACGCAATTTCGTATCTGCAACTACAAGGAATCTTCTTGAAGGCCAGTAGTTGATAACCTGACCATGATTTCAGTTTTCTACAAAACCATAAGTTAGAGATGTTCGTGATCCTGGAGAAAATTTAATGAAGCTAAAATGTTATCTACATAATGACCGTATGTCTTAAAATGCGCTTCCTGCATAAAAGAAGAGCTTTCCAGAAGTGCCGTGAACTTTTCGGAAACGGATGCAGCCGATTGTTTAAGGAAAGACACTTTGTCAAGGGCAAACAAGAAAACATCTCAGCATGGAGACCATAAAGTAACTGGTCATACCAATGCTCGAGGGTCTTGCATCTGACAAAGAAACGAATGTGTTGCCACTGATCCACTAGCGCAGCCTGAACGCACCTTAATTATCATGTGTTCATACTCCAGCGACATCTCGAACAGTAACCAGTAACTCCCCTGTTCATTCAACTGACCCATCTGTCTGGATGTTCCAGAAAACTAGTCTCACTCTTGACATATGCAGTTTGATTCATCTACTCTCCTTTCAAAAAATCACTTGATACATCTACCCCAATCGCACTTTCCCATTGTTGGTCTTTTGCGGAAGGAGGCGAATTTGGTTGCAGCTTCCAGGAGTATCTCACATTTTGCCAGCCTTGCTTTGTCCAAAGCTGGATTGTCGAGAACACAACGTCTGAATACCTTGTCTACATCATTCAACTTTCTTTTCTATTCAGGATTCCGGTGTTCTGGTCCCAAGTTAAAGTTGTCGATTGCTACTCTTTTGTTACCTCCTTGGTTGACAGTAGTTGTTAGGATCGATTCCGATTCCAGTGTTAAAACTATGAGATACGATCAGTTAGAAGCACTGCATACTGCGCAACAAATTTACTGGCCTGATCCACCAATAAGCGGAGTTTTCTTGAAGCAATCTCCTTGACAAGGTTATAGACGATGATCAATGGCTGTAATTCGGATAGTCCCGAAGTTCATCGTGACCCACATGCTCCGCAAAGCATATGGGACAAAGCAAATCACACAGAATTTCAGAGTTCAAACTAGTTATCAGGTTCTGCAAGACATTATGCGAAATTGAGACGAAGTCAATTTCTGCAGTCGCCAAGAAAAATGTAGATGAATTTTTCAAACCCCATGCAAATTTTGGTATCTGCTGACGCAGATAACCGTCACGTACTACCGCCGACACGTGTGCCTCATGTTTGTGTGCGGAACAACTCAGACAGAGCAGGTTACTATGACACGGCCGGATGTATTTTGATTCTACTCAAACGCAAAAACTCAAGCAACCTATTGTTGCTACTGGGCGGACACATATTCACCTAGCTAGCTTGAGGAGAGAACAATAGCGCTGTACCACCACATCCGTTTCCGGCATCTTTCTCCAACGTCAACTGTCTTAGAGGAGAAGCCCTATGGTAGATGATTGCATTGTGCCATGCCGTGTGTTGAGGAGGGACAGTCAACCTAACAACAATCGTTTGGTTGTTAGGACGCAGCTCACCGTGTCGGCAGAAATAATATTCAGAGGAGATAAATAATGTAACAGCGAAAATAAGACAGTAGGTTGAAGTGAAAAGATTCGCCCTGGGAAAAATTATCAAGTGAGCAGCTATCTTAAGACAAGGATGGGTTGTTTCCATCTCTTCCACGTTAAACAACGGGGAGTTGGGTTCTTCTCAACCGGATGACTGCTGTTTTGACAGTGCATGCCATACCATTGACCATTTTTTTGAATTTCAAAGCCAGTCAACGTAGTTCTTTGGTGAATTTTTAACAATACTGGCAACGAACTGGCACTGGTAGTAAGTGTAGTTAAACTCAATGATAATCCAGGTGTGTTATTTCGTAATAGCATCTCCTGATGGTTACTCTTCGATTTCGTCCTCCAGTGAAATTAAACGCAAAGCACTTTAACACAAGGGCGAGTAAAGTCTTTGGGATTAGCAAACGGTTTTGCGTACGGAGTAGTTGTCTGTTAGGGGCAGTGGGGGCGTGTTCATGTCAGAGTATAGAAACTGAGATTACAGCAGAACATCTTGTGCCGAAGGGACATACCATCGATCGTCCTGCTAGTGCGAGGTTTTCATTTTAACACTGCTCCACCTTCTCACTGATCAAAATACGATATGCTGTGTAGAAGTAGGGTGGTATGATATATGTTTTTAGTATTTTATAGCGCAGTATGATGTAGTGTGGTCTGGTGTAGCATAGTACGGTATATTATATAATATAGAATAGTATATATCAAAGTAAAGTGTAGCTCAGTGTGGTGCAATAAAATATGGTGTAGTATAATATCGTATAATATTATACAGTATAGTATAATGTAGCATTGCTTAGTGTAGCATATAATAGCGTCACAGGCACAAGAACCCAATGTTAAATTCCATACCATTAAGTCATATCTAAGCGACTGAAGAATTCGATGTACACAGATATCTCCAGATTAGTCCAGCAGTAATCCTTCTTCATCAACCATAAATACCTGCCAAACAACGATTGTGTCCTCCTAAATTTATGGCAGGTGTAACGAGAGCACACATGCAACTACTACTGAAGATACCGTCGTACATTCATCCTACTTACTTATATGTATTTATTCACCACTCTGGCGGTTCATTCCGTCAAAACATGTTACAGAATAACTGAATAAAGACTAACCTCACAAATTAGTCTCAAGGATTTCTATAGAGGAAAATTTGGTAGCTGCAACTACTACTGAAGATACCGTCGTACATTCATCCTACTTACTTATATGTATTTATTCACCACTCTGGCGGTTCATTCCGTCAAAACATGTTACAGAATAACTGAATAAAGACTAACCTCACAAATTAGTCTCAAGGATTTCTATAGAGGAAAACGTTGGTAGCTCAGGTATCGTGGTTGTGCACAACCACCAACCCACCGTTACGCACTACTACGCTCCACAACAACGCACTGATAATGTCACCTTGATTGGTGATGAAACGTTTGCAATCAAATTGCCCAGCTCAGCGAACAAGCCAACGACCACCAGTCTCAAGGATCTTTATTAGAATATGACCCAAATATTTCTCTTTTACAGATACATTGCCACTTCTGCCAACGGAATTTCGATGTACTGATTTTTTCGTACTTCGTTGTGTTGCTTAACTGGAGGTTAGGTAACAAAACAAAGCAAGTTTAGAACAACGATGCAAAAAGATATTTTCTTGTCAATTTGAGATTACGTACAAACCAATCAAAGACACGGTCACTAAGTAAACTCTATCCTAGTTTTTCTTGTCACTCAGTAATGTACGATAATCACGAAACACTAGGGGCTGAAGTTTTAAATTCAACTCAGATGTATAAAAATATGACAATCGTTTTGATACAGCTACTGAATTTTGCATCACACCTGGCAAAGCAGTCTCTTCTGATTAATGTATCTCCATAAGTAGTAGCGTCATTACTAGAGTAGAAGCTGATACTGGCAGCTCAGGTCTCAGTTGTCTGAGAACGTTCAGTCACTGAGACCCCAAACTCCAACATACTGTGATTGTAAGTTATTTTTATCATCTTTTACAAGACTGGAACAAATAAAGTGATTCGCTGAATATCAGTTTAGTGGAAGTCGCGCTTTTTGTACTGCAATAGCAATGTTTCCTTACAAACATAAACCAAATATCGCGTCGCGTCGAACTGAAAAAAGGTGCAGAAAACCTTCAGAACACAGATTCATCCCGTCAGACAAGAAACTATTGGAAAAAAGTTTTCTTACGAACCACAAATTAACCCGTTTATTCTCCCAAGGCTATTGCGGAGGTCAACCGTTGTCTCGGAATTTCTAATTTCATTTTCAGAGGCAGAGTAATTTGCCTGAATCTCGACCAAACAAGTAATTGTCACTCTTTTTAATGGGATCCTAAAAGAAAAGACTTAATAGAAAAATGGGTAAATGAATGAATGCATGGATGATAAACCCTCACAAAAGGCAGACAGAACAACAAAACGAGACAATCAGATTCGATGCATAGAGCAAGAGAAAAAACGTTAACACCAAATGGTATATTTACATTTATATGTAAACAAATCGTACATAAGTATATCATCAATGCTAAACTAATATTATGACGCGGAATTCGACCAATACTTGGTCACCTCAAAATAAAGTGACAAAGTAGCATTATTTCCTTTTTGATGGAACTTGAGTATACCTTGTCCTAAAATAGGTTACTTTTTGAATGTCTGCAATCCACAAATAGCTTGCCCCAGTACAGAAGGAAAACATACCAAAGTACCGTGAAGAGTCACCACGCACGCCGCCTCATGTGCTCCTACACTATGTGACGTTCAAGACGGCCTGGGATTGGATGATATTTCTCCTTACTGGGTACACTTCGGTCGTGGTTCCATACAGCGTGGCATTTGGACAAGTAAACACCTACGGTGGTACCCTGCTTAACGCGTTTGATCGCATTGTCGACATCATTTTTTGTATCGACATTGTGCTGAATTTCCACACAACATTCGTCGGTCCAACTGGAGCCGTGATTTCTGACCCCACATTGATCCGTTTGAATTATCTCAAAGGATGGTTTATGGTCGACCTGATCGCTTGTTTACCATATGGACTGCTCAATATTTTCGGCTCACGTGATGACGGAGTAAGTTGCTTGTTATTTAGTACAATATACAGACTGAAATTTCAGTTGCACTGAATTTAAGTATGGTTTTGCGTTTTTTGTTATGTCCTTACAAAGTAAATAATGTACAATGTTATTCAAATACATGGAGACAAATTCAGTCCGTCAATGTTTAGGAAAGAACGCCGGATTCGCTTTGCATTACTGGGAGAAACTGCCACTTTAGCTGACCGAAAATAAGTAAACCCAAAGAAATCTGATGTACGCGCTGCTACCACAGTGAGCTGTGTTCAAATCACCGTTCCTACTAACCCCGACACAGGTCTATCTAATTTATAGCTTATGGCTATTTATGTCAGCATTAAACCCATTTAGGTATTATATGCTTCAGTAATTCTCTCGTTAAATAAACATTCGATGCCCAGTCAAATTCAGTGGCATCTTAATGGATTAAACTAGTTTGTACTACTTAGTTAAACGCATTGTTTGATAAACCGTATATTGTGGTGAGGATTGAATTCACCCGTTCTGTGAGTGCAATGAGCGATTTTGGGGTTCTTGGTACAAACTTACAGCTGTCAGGCAGACGGTCATTTGATCAATGTCTAACTGACCACCCAGTAAAGGTTCTTTTGGAAATAGGTAAAGGCATAGAAGCAGATTACCCTGGGTGCGAAAGGTCATTATCAATACTGATCAAGGAGAGTTGTGGAAACAGATGAAAATAGAACAAGGAATAACAGTTAACGGAAGTATAAGCTAAAGACATTTTTTTCTTAGGGACCGTTTCAAATGCAGATACGGATCCGTAGTTTTACATGATCAAGATAGTGCAAATGACGGATTAGGTCTTACTAGTGTTCAGGGATATCGATTTTGATAAATTAGATTGACTATTGATTTTCAGCTTGAACAAGTGAGGGGCGTCATTGTCCAATGTCTGTGGGACTGTCTTCTTATTTCTGAAGAATTTAATCTGAACTCGACAAACCGCATGCTGATTGGCACATAAATGAATAAACATTTTCACGGCCTTCGGCTCCGCTTGAGAGAGCTGGAATTAGTAGGATTGACAATACTTGGTAAACGTCAAATTCACTCTGTGTCTCTCAGCTCATTCATTTACTGCTACCCATGGTTCTTCTCACATTAATAAATAATGTATAGATTGGGAAAGAATTTTGCAACAACCTTTACCCGGTATTCCCTTGTACTGTAAGCAAAGTTGATTAACCGTGTCAAGGTAGCTTAGTAAGTTGAGAAGCTGGCATGAGGATAACATCACGTCTGTGTAGCTGAACTTTCAGCCCGCACAACTAACCAAATTTCTACTGATATTAACTATGCAAAAATTGGGACACAATCAGCGGTACAAGTTATTTCCCCTGCTAACCTCCTAGAGGCTTGTAAAACTGTGAGCATTTAACAGAACAGAGGGGAAAACGTTTCCAACCATCACTAAATATCCCTGTGCATTGATGGAAGTTATAGGTGATTGTAAAACTTTAACCATACACTGTAGGCTTCGTAACATAGAAGTCCTGATTGGTTCACTGATCTGTCGATTGACGATTGTTGTAGGAGGTATTTAATGGCATATATTTTTCTTCTTGCAAAATTGTTCACAAACAAACAAAAAACAGAAAATGGGCATTTGATTTATTTTTCAGTTGCTGTGATGCAATCTGTGTATAATGTGAAAATAGTGCATTTTGTTTGCAATATAAATACTCACTTGTCAAAAATGGATAGCATGCGATGTGAAATATGCACTCCGGAAAAGATGCGCTAGTGCTATGTGTGAATAATTTTTAATAATTGGATAAACTGTTTTGGTGTGTTTGCGACCAATGATAACACTCCTGAATGGTAATACCAGAATTCACTGTTTTAGCATCAGCTAACTAGCAATGTTTGTCGGTCAATCCTAGCAGGCTATGTTGTTCATATAACGTGTCACACTGAACGGTGACTGGCTAAATGGATTTCCCTCCCTCAGTTTGAGAGAGAGGTTCGTGAGTTTGGGTTTGGGGTCAAACTTCAAGTTACCCTAGCATCAGAAACAGTAAGCCTGGTTTTCTCGTCTCGAATCGAGTGCACTGTTTCCTAGATTTCTACTTTAACGAGGTGGTATTTGTCACGAGCTTTGCGATAATAAATCGCTACTTTCGCTAAACGAATATGTGTCAGAGGAGGACTTAGGCAGTTGCCAATGAAGTGACACTCTCAAATAAGTGGTTCCTTAAATTCGTCCTTTCATTGATTTGCCACGAGAAAGCTTGAGGGAAATCCATCCTTACTTCTGACTAATTAAATTTTCAGCTTAACTGGTAACAAACGCGACTGCAAGATAGTACCTATTTCTTAGACTTCATCGGGTAATAATATAGATGATGCATAAATTAGAAGCAATTCACCGCAGTTACGCCATCTTTGTGAGCTAGCTAGACTTCAGGGTATGGTGGAACGACCCCAGGACAACCGAATAGTTACCTTGGATGTAAACTACTCGATGAATGGGTTGTGCGAGAGTCTCACATAACGCAAATCGTTGAGTATTCGTGCTTGGGGACTAGTAACACATCACCGCTTCCAATATGAATAACACCTTATAGGAATTTTAGCAGGATTTCTGAATCATTTTTATGTCCTACAAGGAGTCCTATGTCCTACACGTGAGTTGGCATACTCACTCCCCAATTACTGTTTTGGACCCCAACAAAATGCTCATTTTTCACGCGACACAATCAGTCGTGTCATGACCAGTTTGCTTTAATAACTGAGGTCATGATGTATGAGTTGGGAGTTACATGTCCATTCCCCTTGTTTTATCTTTTTTGTAAAGAAAATTCTCAGATGCGACCAAAGATAGACTGCTTCCGATTATAGCTGCTCCGACTCGAAGGAAAAATTTCCCCCCAAGTTTCTTGTGAATGTTTAGGATGGAACTCCTTAAATGCTACTTTAGGAAGTAGATAACACTCCAACCCCGAATTCTCCGGTAACATATTCTAATTTTGTGAGTGACACAGGGAATTACGTTTATTGGGAAGTAGCTTCAGTCGTTGTCTATTTCTATTCTCTGTGATCGGTCTGTCGTGTGTTTTTGAACCACTATTCTTTATCCGTAACTGTCCACTTTGCAAGTGATCTACTACTCCCGTTCTGAAATGATGGTTCCTGCCCGCAGTAACTCCTCTGTTTCCTATATTGGCCTGTTTATTCTGTCCTACATCTTTTTCCCTAAAAAGCTCCATGTGCCCCACTATAAAGTTTGTTTTCTTTGTGATTAACCAGTACTAGGTGGGAACTGTGATTCCCAACCTTAATAAAATATGAACTGGTAATTTGAAAACAATTTAGATAGATTGAATTGGTGGGTTTTGTATTTATCATATGGCAAATTATGCTGCTGACAGTCTTTCCCACAAATCCACCTTATATTGTGTAACCGCGAAATGGTTTCGTTACGCTATTTAGTTTTCCCTCAGTGATCAGTGGATAAAAATTGTGGCAATACGCTATAAACTGCGGGGTCACAGTCACCTTCCGTTCACTCTTATGGGATCTGTTCTTCTTCTATTTCAGTCTCACCGCTAAGTTCTATCTAGACTCACTTACGCTTTGGGTAGCACTTTGTGACAAGAGCTTCCTGTGGTATTGTAAAAGAATGTAAATGTATTGTTGGTAGTGTGAGGAGATTTGAGATTTTTCGCGGGATTTTGTCCTGTAAGTGAAGCCAATCTATGCTGAAAAGCCGAGAAGCACTGTACAGCTGTTTCATCCTTATTGGGAATCGTCAGCAGTGCGCATCTCACGAAACTCCGAAGGGTCTCGAACCCGCGACCTCCCTGCTAGTAGTTTGAACACTTAACCGTTCGGCCACGAGTGGCTGATCAGCAGTGTGATTAACTCGCGCTTAGACAGGATATAGCGCCGCTCATCCTTCAATCACGGGATCCACATCACGCGGTCACACGTGATGACTGGCTCCTCGAGCAACGACTTCTCAGATAGAAGTTTCTGGAGGACAAATGTCCCTCATAAGAATGTTATTGTTATAAAGTGAGTTGGTCATGCTGCTGATCAGCTATCAGAAGTTGAAAGTCTGAATGAGCTATTACTCTGAACGCTAATCGGACTCTGTTCTCCTCAGGATTCATTAAGTACTTACAACTGAACACTTTCGGCATTGTAGCATAGAATACCGATACCTGTTTAGAGAAAATCCACCAGGTGAACTACGTAGGTTTACCACTAGTTTCTCAGTTTTTCTTTGAAGACTAGCAGCTTACGTACAAACCAGGTGGCGTCAACTTAATTTCAACCGTCAATAGCAAACAATGTCCTCATTTACAGGGGTGTTCAGCCCTTGTGCTTTATACACCGTAACTAGTCAAGATCTTAAAAAGACCATTCTTTTTGGCGTCAACGGTTTCTTCGGCCGCTAGACTTCCAAATGTGACAAGTGATATAGCCATCTCAGGAGAAGGAGCATATAAAATGTGGTCATAATCTGTATTTCAAAAACTGGGTAGCACTGAAGGTTAGACCTGTTGCAATGCTCCATTTTTGCCCTTCATTGCTTACACAACTCCTAATTTTCATATAGTTTGCGACTCGTCATCAAACTTGTACTTCGCTAAATCAAGCATGATTCACTTTAGTTTTGGCGTCTTTCTTGAATGGATGAATGGGACTACCGAGTCACCTTGTAATTTCTACGGAAATCGCTCTGCCAACTATCACTAATCAGGTCTCAGCAATCAACGAGAGCTTGCGGTTTTTTTATGCCTCCGTTTACTTTGATTCTATTTAGCGGACTTTCACTGTTTACTGTGTGA